CATGTTGTTTCATCTTGTCTTGGGTTAGGGCTACCAGTGAAGCTGCAGCAGGTGGTCTTAGGCAATGTCATCACTGCTGACGGACACCAGGGACCTGAAGTTTCTAGGCGCGTGTTAGCGTTCAATGCTGGCATGGGGCCCCTACGTCGAGCACTGCGTCGCACGCCGCATCTATCCGTTACAGCTAAGATCAAGTATGGGGAAGCCCTTGGCAACAGTCGTCTACTATATAATGCTGGTGTTCTTGGCTCTCTCCCGCATAAGATTTTTCATACCATGCAGCAGGCTCACAATTCTGTGTATCGCTTCGCACTTGGCATGACTAAGACTAATCAGCCCGACCTGCACTACAGCACGGATTATGTTTATGCTACGGCAAGGCGAGCTCCTCTTGCTATTGCACTTCGGGTGGCAAGACTACGATATGCAGTACGGCTCAGTTTCTCAGGCCCCTCATGGTTGCATCACATGTTAAACATACTATACACACACAAAGGAGACTGGGTTTGTTTACTTCAAGAAGATATTGCATGGCTAAACCAGTATACTCCGTTAGAAAGGAGGCCAACACTAGGGGATGGAATCAGGGGCTGGATGGATTTTTTTCGCACGCACCCTGGACCAGCAAGGAACATGATCAAGTCTGCAGCGGTCAGGCACGTCAAGGACCTCATTGATAGTCAGGACAGCCAACCTCAGGCAGTTCCACCAGCACCACCGCCTCCCCAGCATGTATGTTACGATTGTGGAGCAGTATTTGCATCGTTACGAGTACTTCGCCAACATGTTACTAAACAACATGCACCATTGGATGATCCTAAATCCTGGGCTCCAGGTACTATATGTCAAATCTGTATGAAAGACTATCGGGAGCGGGGGCGTCTTATCAAACATCTTAAACAAGTACCCTCATGTACCATACCATGGAAGGAGGCACTGCAGCACACACAGCCCACACAGGAGGAGCTCGATCATGATGGCACGCATAAGGCGCAAGCACGCAACAGGGCTCAGGGCAGGTGTGATGATTATGCACAGAGGCCACCCATAAAAGTTTATGGACCCCCCCTACGAATGAAAACAAAGGACAGGCGGAAGAGTCAAACAGCGTATCTTGGAGCCGAACCGCCGCCGGGTGAATAGCCATATTTATGGTTCAAGTTTCGCGCTCTTGAGGCGCCCGTGAGGCTTTGTCGAGCCAATGGACAGATATTACAATCAACTCAATTTCTCAGATGATGTGGGAAGCACAGAGGACTATCCACTTCCAGACGCGACACCAAGTGGCTATGGTATGGGTCAGAGATTGGAGCAGATCATTCACAGCGGGTACGGCGATGTCAAGGCTTTTCAGGAGCTCATCCAGTCCGCCCAGCACCACATCATGAGCATGCAGTGTGTCAGCCGCGAGCTCCAGCTCAAGTGGTCACGCTTCTACGAGGCACAGTGCGCTATCAACCGTGTCACACATGAATGGCTGGTTACTACGGAAGAGAAGCAGCATCTACAGCAGGTATCGAATGACATGAGAGCGCTTAGTGACTGCTACCACAGGCTTCGAACGACGTACCCGACGCTATTCGACGTTAACTTCGTTAACTCTCTCACGCCGCACTATGGGTACGTTGCCTACCTCCCGCCTCATCTTCTTCTTCGGCCATGGCAGATGGATGAGGCGCGCAAGACTGGCATTGACGACAGCCTTGTAGTGCAGACCATTAATAAGGTGGAAGCGGATACCCACAAGGACGTTCCTGACAACGCGGCAGAGCCATCGACGGGAATAACCACGTCAGCAAGGGCAGCATCTCAAGAAGAGGGACCCCGGCCACCAAAGTACTCTGGTACACGTCTTCCGAAGCAGGCTGGCGGCGACGCACCTGTTGATGCGGGAGGTGGAAAGCATACCATCAAGAAGTACCTTGCTGAAGCTCCGAAGCCACCGAGTCCAGCTATGATTAGATTTCGCACAGCGACCGACGACACCAAGGAGATCGAGATCACTGCGGAGGACCTAGAGCATCCTATGTGGTTGCACTTCCTTCACCATTCAGGATGGGCCTTGCTTGAACAGGGAGGTAAGATGAAGCTTGTCCGCATTCGAGCTAAAGCACGACCTCCAGTGGCACCTGCAGCGGTGTCAAAAGCGAGGGCCAAGGCAGCATCACCAGATAGCGGAGCCAGCTGCAGTGCAGATGGCCAATGGAACATTGCCTATGGACCGATGCCGCCACGCCCGCCCGCACCAGTACGACCACAGCCAGTGCGCCGCCCATGGGTGCGCAAACCAGACATGGACAACCAAGTGACGGACATGGAGGAGGGAGATGTACCAACGATCGAGTATCCTGAGGTGATCGACAACTCGGACGTCAAGGAGGTCCAGAGCCTTGCTACCGAGAGCGAAGATGAGAATCGCAGGTCAGCCGCACTGGATAAGACCAGGATGGCAGGGCAATCTCCCAACAAGGACCTCAAGGCGATGTCTCGAGCAGAAGAATATGATTACCTCTAGATTCGTACGAATCGGCCACGGCACGCACTGCTCACCACTCCACATATGTGGCAAGGAGTGGCAGAGGGTACCGACCGTGGTCGAAATGGGCAATATGACTGAACAATTCCATATTGATCCTCATGCAACTTCTAGCATCGAGTCCCATACCAATGTCATTCCCAGCCTCGAGGCGACCATTATTTGGGAAAATGCTCGCCGGGGGCTGTTTGTCCCAAAAAATGGTCGCTCGCTTGGTGTTCGGTGCCCCACAGAGCCTTCGCGTTCAGCAGCTGGCCAAGCTTCAGCATTGAGTCCCATACCAAGAAGGTATCCGGAAATGGGCAATATGACTGAACAATTCCATATTGATCCTCATGCAGCTTCTATTTTGTGATACGGCCACCAAATGGGATTTGAACGTCTATCTCACGGCATGTTGGGCTGGAGTGGGACGGGTATCTGCGGTGGCTTATTCATTCTACAGCTCTCAATTTTCACTGCTGGGTTTGGTTTCAGATGATGTATATACTCATGTGGTGAATCTTGATTCTCTTGGTGACATGCTCACCCTGGTCATCGTGCAGCTGTGCTACGCCATGACTATCTTCATGTACTGAGTTCCTTGCACGGGCTCCCGTGTGACAAGCCCTAATGTCCGATCCGATCCGATCCGAGGAGGAGGAGGAGGAGGAGGAGGAGGAGGAGGAGGAGGAGGAGGAGGAGGAGGAGGGAGGAGGAGGAGGAGGAGGAAGGAGGGAGGGAGGGAGGGAGGGAGGGAGGGAGGGAGGAGGGAGGAGGGGGGAGGGAGGGGGGGAGGGAGGAGGGAGGGAGGGAGGAGGGAGGGAGGGAGGGAGGGGAGGAGGGAGGCGGGCGGGAGGCGGGAGGCGGGAGGCGGAGGAGGGAGGGGAGGAGGGAGGAGGAGGAGGAGGAGGAGGAGGAGGAGGAGGAGGAGGAGGAGGAAGCGGAGGAGGGGGAGGGGGAAGAGGAGGAGGGGGGGGGAGGAGGAGCAGGAGGAGCAGGAGGAGCAGGAGGAGCAGGGAGGAGCAGGAGGGCAGGAGAGGAGGAGGAGGAGGAGGAGGAGGAGGATGGAGGACAGGAGGAGGAGGAGGAGGAGGAGGAGGAGGAGGGGAGGAGGAGGAGGAGGAGGGGGAGGAGGATTGAGGAAGGAGGAGGAGGAGGAGGAGGAGGAGGAGGAGGAGGAGGAGGAGGGGGAGGGGGAGAGGCTTCTTGGAAGAAAGCTGTTTCTCAGAAGGCGCGGGCCCCCTCTGCAGATGCAGGGCCCGCGCCTCCTGAGGAGCAGCCTCCTTCAAAGGAGCCTCCCCCGTCCCCCCCTGCCCCCTGTTTCTGGCCTCCTGGGGCCGGGTACCGGGCCTCGGGACCGTCAAAACACGACTCGGGATGAAGAGCGCCCCGGGGTTTGGGCCGAAACTTGTGGGGGCCGACGTTATGAAGACATCCTGACGTCGGGGGTCTGGCCAGTGTGTGGCTCATCTGTGGTTGTCCGCAGGCCTGGCGCCCTTGCAGCAGCCTCGCGCCGAGGGGCTCCCCACGGCGGCGTGCCACCGGTTCTGCTCCTGCCGCCCCCCCCCAGAAGCGAGGCAGGCACACGGCAGCTGCAACATCGCGGGAAGCCACGACCAGGGCTCTGGACCCCCTCCTCCCGCGGCATGCTTCGCAGATCTCGGGCGAGGGCCGCCGTCGAGAGCCGGCCGGATCCCGCCTGCCGGCCGCCGAAGCCCTCCCCCGAGGTGCGACGGCGTCCCCCCAGGGAGCGAGGCTGAACCCCTCCCCCCCCCCCTTCCCGCTTCCTCTGTTCCTGCCCCTCTTTCCACATCCTTCGGCCCCCCCCCCTCCCTCCCTCCTCCCTCTCCTCCCGCTCCTCCTCCTCCATCCGCCCTCCCATCTCCCCCCCGTCCTCCTCCTCCTCCTCCTTGCGACGTTCGGAAAGCTTAAATCATCTGGGATCGTAGCGTCAGGATGATGCAAGAACCGGCATAGCATCGAGACCGATTCAGGCACCGTGGCCGACAAATGGAATTGTAAGCTGGTGCGGCCAAAAGGATGGGAACCGAGACGCGGCGAAACGACGAGGTGCCCGTGAGGGCGTGGAGCGACTAGGGAAGCAGCCTGCGGAGGAGTGGGGGGTACACAACCCGGGGGTACACAACTCGGGGGCGCCGCACGGGGCGTCTATGGCAACGGGCCGTCGCTGCCCGGGGTCCTCCTCCCCCTCCTCCTCTTCCTTCACCACCACCTGCTCCTCCCCCTCCTCCCTCTCCCTCTCCCCTCCTCCCTCCTCCTCTCCTCCTCTCTCCTCCTCCTCCTCCTCCTCCTCCTCCTCCCTCCTCCTCCTCCTCCTCCTCCTCCTCCTCCTCCTCCTCCTCCTCCTCCTCCTCCTCCTCCTCGTCATCCTCCTCCTCCTTCTCCCCATTCCTCCTCCACCACCTGCTCCTCCTCCCACTCCCTGGACTCTGCCTGGCCGCCGGAGTTCTCCCCCGCGGAGGCCTCCGGCTGGCCGACCGCCCTGGTGCTCCTCGCCGCCTCGCCGCGCGGCGGGCCGAGGCCGCGCTCGGCGGCGATGGCCGCCTGCGCGGAGGCTGGCGGGCAGCGTCGGCTGTTCTCCTCGTCCTCTTCCCTTCCCCCCCTCCTCCCGAGCGAAGGAGACGTCGGAAGTGAGGAGGAATGCAGGAGGAGTAGGAGGAGGAGGAGGAGGAGGAGGAGGAGGAGGAGGAGGAGGAGGAGGCATGCAGGAGGAGAAGGGGAGGAGAGGGGCAGGAGAGGAGGAGGAGGAGGAGGAGGATGCGGAGGAGGAGGAGGAGGAGGAGGAGGAGAGGAGGAGGAGGAGGAGGAGGGGGAGGAGGAGGAGGAGGAGGAGGAGGGGAGGAGGAGGGAGGAGGGGAGGGAGTGAGGAGGAGGAGGAGGAGGAGGAGGAGGAGGAGGAGGAGGAGGAGGAGGAGGAGGAGGAGGAGGAGGAGGAGGAAGAGGAGGAGGAGGAGGGAAGAGGAGGAGGAGGAGGAGGAGGAGGGAGGAGGAGGAGGAGAGGAGGAGGAGAAGGAGGAGGAGGAGGAGGGGGAGGAGCAGGAGGGGGGAGGAGGAGGAGGAGGGGAGGAGGGAAGAGGAGGAGGGAAGAGGAGGAGGGAGGAGGGAGGAGTGAGAAGGGAGGAGGGAGGAGGGAGGAGCAGGAGGGAGGAGGGAGGAGCAGGAGGAGGAGGAGGAGGAGCAGGCGGAAGGCAACGACGGTAGGCGTTGTCTGTATCTCTCTTGGCCCTTCCTGGAGCGACGCCACGCCTGCCCTTGGCCGCGGGCATCGGCCACAACGCGCCCCAGTTGGGCGGGCCACACCTAGGCCCAGGCCCAGGAGGGACGGAGGGAAAGGGCGGGGAGGCAGAAGATGAGAAAAAGGGCGGACGAGGCAAGACAGATAGTTGAGATTGTAGCAGAGGGGCAGGGGATCCGGGAGGCACGGGGGGTGCAGGCGGAGGCGGAGGCGGCTGCAGGGGCGGAGAGATGGAAGAGCCTGAAGCGCAGGCAACGCAGGGGGCGGATACGGAGGGTCTTGAGGAATGGGAAGGAGGATGTGGATAGGAAGGGGACGAGGAACGGAACGGACGGAGAGGACGAGGACGCGGGTGGCGTGGGCAGGGAGACGACGCAAGACCGGGAGGCGTACGTGTCGGGGAAGAGAGAGGGCCCCGGCGTCCGACGTCGTGCTTGTGTCCGCAGCGTGGCTCTGGGAGGTCCGGAGCTCTTCCCCGGGGAGCGGCCCTGCCACGCAGATCAGGCAGTGCTTCGGGCCGGGCGAAAGGGGGGGATTGGGAAAGGGGGGGGTACAAAATTTGCTGCATGCAGCTGGTTTCGGCCTCACCGAGGGGCCCATTCCTCGATACATGGCCGCCTCCGGCGCCGGGAGGCGCCGGGAAAATCAGCTACGCGAGCTGATTCTCAAACCCCCCCTTTGCTATCCCCCCCTTTCCCCCGACCCGAGTGCTGTCCGAGTCCGGGGGCCCCGGAGGCCGAGCATGGTCAGAATGGTCCGTCCCGTCTGCTTCACGACGCGGAGAGTGCCCTCCCAGAGGGCGGCGGGGCTTCCCAGGAGCCCTCGCAGCTTCTGAGAAGTGGCTTGCCTCTGCGGGGCAGGCTTATAGAGAGCTTCTCAGAAGGCCCGAGGCTTTCCAAGCCTTCTGAGAAGGCCCGCCTCTTCTCACCAGGCTCGCTGTTCCGTAGGTCATTTCGTGGCTCTTCATCTAGCCCTCCTTGTGCACTCAGGCGCTGCTGGCGCCTCAAAGGGGCTCCGTTCCTTTTCAGCGTTTCTTGTTGCAACAGCCCTTCTGTATAGTGGGGAGCTCGGGCGGCCAGTGGCACGGCGCTGCGGCCACGAGTGGAGCTGCAGGAGCTGGCGCGCTCTGCGCACCCAGACGGCCCTGGCCGCGCGCTGCGCGGCCTCGGCGCCGCAGGAGGTTGGCGAGGGCGACGCCGCGCTTCGCCTTCGAGCGGGAGCAACGGGACCGCCTCTCGACGGATCGGAGGCGACGATAAGGGCGAATAGCCCAGGGGCGGGGCCGCCGCTCATTGAAAACATTGCGAATGGGCCAAGACCCTTTCTCGGGATCCCTCCTCCCTCGCCCCTTTCCTGTCTCCCCTCCGCGGGAGCCTCGGGAGTTGGGTTGGGTGGAGGGCTTCCGCTCGGTCCTCTCTGAGGTCGAGGATCCCGAGGCTTCTTATCGAGCGCTAGGAGTGGTCGCTCCTGCTGCGCCCCCTCGTTCTCTCGGGCCTGCCCCGCCTGAGGCGGGCGGGTCTGCCATGGAACCCAGCGCGCCACCCGCAGCAGGCTCCCATCCGAATCGTGGCTGATCTCGTGGGACTTTGCTGGGGCGGTTCCTTCTGGGGCCGCCCCCAAAGGAAGGGAAAGGGAAAGGAGGAGGAGGAGGAGGAGGAAGGGGAGGAGGAGGAGCATGCCAGGTAACACGGCTAGGAGCAGGAGGAGGAGGAGGAGCAAGAAGTCCAGTGGCGAGGAGGCGGGGGATGATGATGATGATGATGATGATGATGATGATGATGATGATGATGATGATGATGATGATGATGATGATGATGAGGATGAGGATGAGGATGAGGATGAGGATGAGGATGAGAGATGAGGATGAGGATGAGGATGATGGATGAGGATGAGGATGAGGATGAGGATGAGGATGAGGATGAGGATGAGGATGAGGATGAGGATGGGATGAGGATGATGGGATGAGGATGAGGATGAGGATGAGGATGAGGATGAGGATGAGGATGAGGATGAGGATGAGGATGAGGATGAGGATGAGGATTTGGATGAGGATGAGGATGAGGATGAGGATGATGAGGATGATGATGATGATGATGATGATGATGAAGATGAAGATGAAGATGAAGATGATGATGCTGATTATGTTGATGATGATGCTGATGATGCTTATGATGATTATGCTGATGATGACGATGACGATGTTGATGATGATGATGACGATGATGATGATGATGATGATGATGATGATGATGATGACGATGACCCAGCCGATGACGATGATGATCATGATGCTACTGCTGATGATGCTGATGATGAAGAAGATGAAAAATATGAGGATGATGATGATGCTGATGATGAGGATGATGATGATGCTGATGATGATGATGACGATGCTGATGATGCTGATGATGCTGATGATGCTGCTGCTGATGATGATGATGCTACTGCTGATGATGAAGAATAATATGATGATGATGCGGATTCTGATGATGATGAGGAGGAGGAGGGAGAGGAGGAGGAGGAGGAGGAGGAGGAGGAGGAGGAGGAGGAGGAGGAGGACGGCACTAAGTTTGGTTGGGCAGCGCTGCGGTCAGAAGCAGCGAGGCGGCGCCCAAGCCCTCAGGGATGCCCTGCAGTCCTCGGGCGCGGAGGAAGACTCGCATCCGCTTGGGCCCGTGGAGGATCATGGCGCCTGTCTGGCGGCCGAGGCCACATGCGGAGCACAGCGCGCGCCACGACGGCGGATCGGATGCGTGCCGTCGCGTGCCCTGGTCCTCGATGGTTGCAGCCCTCGGGCCCAAAGCACATGACGACGGCAAGCGGACCATGAGCGGAGACCTCGTCGACGGACGCACCCGAACGTTGGAGATGACATTGCCTGGGAGGAGCCGCCGTGGCTCGCCATTTTGAATGGTTGGCGCGGGAGGGCAAGAACGTCAGAGGCGGGAGCACGAGTGGAGCAGGAGAGACGAGTGGAGAAGGAGATGAGGCCAAAGAGTTGTGAAGCTGGGGTGTCTCCGTTTTTGCCTGCCTGGCTCAAGGACGCGTCGAAGGGCGTGTTGGTTCGAGCTTCCGCTGTGACGGAACTCGCAGCAGATACATTCACGCGTGCACACTTGTCTACAGCAGAGCATGCGCGTGTATTCGCAATCATGCGCTGCATGGCGGGGAAGGTCCCTGACTTCGTGTCGTGCCAAAAGCGGCGACGGAAGGACTTTGGCAGTTTTTGGCGAGCGGGGGCTATTGCCAGGCCCCCCGGACAGTCCCGACAGCACTTAAGACGAGTAGCCGGCCCACGGGAGCGGTCGAGATCACGTCGGGAACGAAAGCCTAGCGTAGGATGCCTGGGGTGGGGGGGGAGGAGCCCATACCTGCGACGTCGCACTTGTCTTACAACGTGGTTCCTTGGAGGTCTGCACCCCAACTTCGGTCCCAGGGCCCGTCAAGGGCGCACAGAGGCAAAAACGAGCACATCCGTCGTGACGGCTCCGGCAGGCAGCGCCCGAGCTTCCACGTCGTCGCCACCATCGCGGCCGTCGCTGTCGCCGCCGCTCACTCGTCGCGCCACCGCTCGTGGTCAACTGCTGCTCGTCGTCGCCACCGCTCGTCGCCAGCAGCCGGCTCTCGGTGGGGCCACTCGTCGCCGCCAACTCGTCGTCGCCGCCGCTGCTATCTGCGGGTGGCGGTTCAGCGAGAGACCGCGCGCGCTCCCCAGTGAAGGCCTGCGGTCGGGACAGCGCCTGGCGCCAGGCGCCGGGCCCTCCCCCCCCGCTCTGGCCGTGCATCGCGGTGCCGGTATGTTGTCTTCCTCTGTGTATCCATGGGGAGGAAGTGTCTCCAGGACGTCGGGCGGATTGATGTCTCCAATCCCGGTGCTTTTCCTTCACCTCGGTATCCAGAGGGCCGTGTTTGGTCCCAGGAGTCGTGAACTATTGCCCCTAGGAAGGGGTCAGGACTTTCGGGGGCCGTGAATTGAGTTATTCATCTTGTATCGAGCGATCCACCATGGAATTTCAGCACATCAAGATATACGAGCATCATACCTGTTGCTGTTATGGATGTCCATACTTTGATATAGCTAAAATTTCTTTTATTGGGCATGGTATTGATGTGTACGTGTGTATTTCTTTAGTATGCAATTGGTGCTTGTTATTGGTGTACGCCCTTAGCGTATGTGATGTCTGAACCTGGCGCACCTTCTATTATATACAGAGCCAAACTGATGGAATCATATCAACTAATTGGCAGATTGACAAAGCAACTGATCAACTAATGCAGAATGGCCCGAAATCCTGATCAATTATTGCACGGGCGCAGCTCGTAATCTGATTTTCGGGAAGTTGACCGATTGACTCACTGAGTGACTGACTGAACTGACAGCTGAATCACCACAGCCGTTAGATGGCAGCTTTATTTCCGGGGGTTGAGGATATTTCGCTGGCAGTTTTAGGCCAGGGGGTGAGGATGTTTAGCTGGCAGTTTTAGGCCAGGGGCGGTGAGGATATTTCGCTGGCAGTTTTAAGCGAGGGGTGAGAGGATATTTCACTTCGGTGGTAGTTTCAAGGCTGAGGGGTGAGGATAGTTTGCTGGCAGTTTTGGGCCAGGGTGTGTGAGAATATTTCGCTGGCAGTTTCAAGCGAGGGATGTGATGATGTTTCGCTGGCAGTTTTAGGCAAGGGTGTGAGGATATTCTGCTAGCATTTGTAAGGGAGGGGAGTGAGGATATTTCGCACGTTAGTGGGTTGAGGATATTTCGCTGGCAGTTTTAGGTCAGGGGGTTGAGGATGTTTCGCTGGCTGCTGGCAGTTTTAAGGCCAGGGGGTTGAGGATCTTTCGCTGGCAGTTTTGGCAAGGGGGTGGGGATATTTCGCTGGCAATGTAAGGCCAGAGGCGGTGAGGATATTTCGCTGGCAGATTTAAGCGAGGGGTTTGAGGACATGTCCCTGGCAGTTTTAGGCCAGAGGGTGAGGATGTTTCGCTGGCAGTTTTAAGCCAGAGGCGGCGAGGATACATTGCTGGCAGTTTCAAGCGAGGGGTGTGAGGATATTTCGCTGGCAGTTTTAGGCCAGGGGGGTGATGATATTTCGCTGGGAGTTTTCAGCCAGGGGAAGGGGGTGAGGATCTGTCGCTGGCAGTTTCAAATGAGGGGTGTGATAATACTTCGCTGGCAGTTTTAAGTCAGGGGCTGAGGATATTTTGGTTGCAGTTTACAGCGAGGGGTGTGAGTATATTTTGGTATCAGTTTGATGGGGTGGAGGATGTTTCGCTGGCAGTTTCAAGCGATGGGTGTGAGGATATTTCGCTGGCAGTTTTAAGCGAGCTGGCAGTTTAGGCCAGGGGGTGAGGATATTTCGCTGAGGGGCGTGAGGATAGTTCGGTGGCTGTTTCAAGCGAGGGATGTGAGGATATTTCGCTGAGGGGTGTGAGGATATTTCGCTGGCAGTTTTAGGCCAGGGGGTGAGGATATTTCGCTGGCAGTTTCAAGCGACGGGTGTGAGGATATTTCGCTAGCAATTGTAATGGAGTGGGGTGAGGATAATTCGCTGGCAGTTTTAGGCCAGGGAGTTGATGATATTTCGCTGGCAGTTTCAAATCTAGGGTGTGAGAATATTTTGCTGGCAGTTTCAAGCGAGGGGTGTGAGGATATTTCGCTGGCAGTTTTAAGTCAGGGGGTGGAGGATATTCCGCTGGCAGTTTTGAGCCAGGGGTTGAGGATATTTGGCCGGCAGTTTCAGCAAGGGTTGTGAGGATGCTTCGCTGGCAGTTTCAAATGAGGGGTGTGAGGGTATTTCGCTGGCAGTTTTAGGCCAGGGGGTGAGGATATTTCGCTGGCAGTTTCAAGCGACGGGTGTGAGGATATTTCGCTGGTAGTTTCATGGGGTGGAGAATATTTCGCTGGCAGTTTCAAGCGAGGGGTGTGAGGATATGTCGCTCGTAGTTTTAGGCCAGGGGGCCAAGATATTTCGCTGGCAGTTTTAGGCAAGGGTGTGAGGATATTTCGCTGAGGGGTGTGAGTACACTTCGCTGGCAGTTTCAAGCGAGGGGTGAGAGGATATTTCGCTGGCAGTTTTAGGCAAGGGTGTGAGGATATGTTGCTAGCATTTGCAAGGGAGGGAAGTCAAGATATTTCGCACGTCAGTGGGTTGAGGATATTTCGCTGGCAGTTTTAGGCCAGGGAGTTGAGGATATTTCGCTGGCAGTTTTAGGCCAGGGAGTTGAGCATATTTCGCTGGCAGTTTTAAATCCGGGGGTTGAGGATATTTAGCTGGCATTTTTAGGCCAGGGGCGGTGAGGATGTTTCGCTGGCAGTTTCAAGCGAGGGGTGCGAAGGTATTTCGCTGGCAGTTTCAATCGAGGGGTGTGAGGGTATGTCGCTGGCAGTTTTAAGGCCGGGCGGCGGTGATTGGACGAGGAGGGAGTAGGAGAGGGAGGAGGCGGCGGAAGGATGAGCCGGAGGAGTTGGACGACTGGGGAGCATGGATGAGAGGGAGGACGGAGGACGAGGACGAAGAGGAGGTTGGCGAAAGGGGGGGGTCGGAGGTAGGGCCTGGTAGGTTCGGGCATCCACGCGCCACGCGATGCAGTGTTGTGTCTTGCCCTGCCTGGCCCAGCCGAAGGCTACGCATGCAGCGCGGTGCTGCGCCGTATATGTGCTCGCCCCTTGGCGTGGGGCTGGCGGGTGGCCGAGGGGCGAGCTGTCTGGTGTTTGTTTGCGTTGCGTTTGAATTAGCTGCATTAGTTGTCCGTCAGTTTCGCGGAGCCCAGCAGTTTCGCCATGATTTGCGTTTTGCAGAGTGTTCCGAGGGGTGGCGACGTTTGGCAGTTTTGCGAAATCAGCCGAAATTTTCAAGCAGCTAATGCAACTAGTACAACTAATCCTCATCAATTAGTTGGTTGCATGTGTTGCATCAGTTGTTCGGGATGCGATCGATTAGTTACATTCGTTGTCCGTCAGTTTCGCAGTTCTTTCGGTAGCTCTGTTGCATCGGTTTCTGTAGATGTTTTAGTTTTCCTGCTTCTAGTGTTATGGTTCGTCGGGGCCAGACAGCGTGTGTTCCGTATGCTTGTTATTGGTGGTTGTTATTGGTGTACGATCTTGAAGCTTGCTGCCTAGGTTGGCCATTCTTGATTACGGCTGGTTGAAGTTATTGGTTTCGGTTATTGGCTTAGGTGTAACGCCGACAAATCAAGGGGCTTACGCAATTACGCAGGCCCCCAGAACAGAAGATGTGCGTTTTGTTGCTGGTTCGTCCTCTTTCTCCGCGTCTGCTGCTGGGCTATTGGGGGTACACTGTTGGTGGGTCTTTTGGGTACCTCTTGGGCTTGGATCTTCTTAAAACACCCTGGACGTATTCTTTCTACTGTTTTGCATTAGGGTTATTTTCACAGGCGCTAAAACAAGGCTGCGTTGTTTTACCATTGATTTACTTCTGTTCTTAGCGTTTTCAGGCCCGTCGCTGGGGATCTTCATTCTGTCAGCGTTTTTAGCTTTCATGCCCAAGGCTGCTCTTTGTCTTCGCTGCCGTCTTCGCTCCCGCTCTCCCGTTCCTGCCGCTTCCCGTCTCTCCCGCTCCGCGCGCAGAGCGCAGAGCTCAGAACGCCCCAGCGACCACCTGACACGGGTCTAGCGCCGGCGCGGAAGAGGCCCGGAGGCCCCGCGGCCAGCCAGCAGCGACGACCAGAGAAGATCACAATGATTACAACACAAATATGTCGGGGAGGGCCCAGAGGGGGGTGATGACTGGGGGTGGGTGAATATCATGGCGGGGGGCCATGATATCTCCCCAGATTTGATGGCGCCCCTTCTTACTTCAATACGTCCCTGGCCCTCCCCCTGGGTCGCGCACATGCCGCCGGCCATGATTTGCACCCCCCCTTCTTGGACGCTCCCGAATATAGGAGACCGCACGCAAGGAGAAGGAACGGAGGACGTGGTAGACGGCAGTGTGAAACAATGCAATACATTGATCTGGAAACGATGGAAAACGAATCTCCAGCGGAAAAACAATGAAGCGTTGTTGTTCGCGTGTTTGTTGTTGATGTTGTTGTTGGATTCTCAATAGTGAAGAATGTTTATTGTTGATCCCCCTCTCCGGTGACCATTTTGTTTTTTCAATTGAAGTGCATCCCCCGGGCTCGCACCCTGTTTTCTTAATCTGGGACAGTCACTCAGGTCAAACTGCGCTGTTGGCCCCCAAGCAATGTATTCCCAAATCGCGCTCTCGCTTGGGACTTCCTCATAATGGATGCAAGACTCGCGATCTCGCGTGGGACTTCCTCATAATTGATTCAAGAATCGCGCTCTCGCGGGGGACTGCCTCGCAGTTTATTCAGACGCCGCGCCCTCGACATTCAGGAGTCACGCTAGCGCTGTGGATATCCTCACGATTGATTTGGGAATCGAGCTGTTGCTCGAGACTTCCTCGCGATTAATGCAGGCTCACGCTTGAGCAACCCGCCTGCTCGACCTGGCCGCCTGGGCCCTCCTTCCCGACCCGCCTGGCAAAGTCGACCCGCCCGATCTGCCCGTTTGGTTTTTGCCGCGTGCCTTCAGCTCCTAGCCCGTGTTCCATCCGCCTCCCTCCCCCTTGTCCTTCTTTCCATCCGTCCTCTCGTCCCCTGCCTCAGGGGCTGCGCGAGATACAGGTTGTTGGTAATTTATATATATATATATATACACGTATATATACACATACAGACACACCCAAGCGGGCACGGTCGAGGACGAAGAGGGCAGGTATCGAGGGTTC